AACCTTTCGCTTAGATGGGGTTTTTATATTCGGTGATATGGTAAAAAAGCTATCCAACCTTCCCTGAGTAGCACTTTTCAAGTTTTTCGATAGCTTTTCTACACCTTTTCTTATACGCTCTTCACTTTTAAAAGATGTAAATTAAATTAATTATTAACTGAGAAAGATGATATAATTTTATACATGAAACAAACCTGAATCCCTTCTCCCGCACCATATAGTCAACAACGCCTTCAACGTCCGGCTCTTCCCATTTTATCTGAACATTCCATGAATTAATACAGTTAATAAATAGTCAAGATATTCGTAAGCATACAAAGTTGCGCATAATTTTTACCTCTATAGATTCTGGGTCCAATACCTCTGGATTTTTAAATAATTCACGTGCTTCTTTATATGGCCAATTTTCAGGTATTGGGTGCCTCTTTTGATCCAGATTCTTTGTAATTTCTTCTAAATTATTGAACTTTTTAACAAGTTCTACTGCACGATGAGGCCCGATTCCTTTGATAGACTCACAATAATCGCAGCCCAAGAGTATACAAAGGTCGATGAACTTTCAAAATAAATTGATGAATTGTTAATACATAAATACTCGTATCTATAAAGTTACTCTCCAATCTTATCATTTACTTGATCCATGTTTATTTCGAGTCCCTCTAGAACTTTTTGAAGATGTATTTCGTCGATCGGCATTTTTCTAGCTTCGCTAAAGGTCAAATGACGTAATAATATGGAGGAATTAAAGGTCAATGTGTCCATATCCTCGGAAGCAGCAGCGTATACCTGGAGCGATAATATAAGATATCGTAAATTTTTGCAATAAAAATTGAAACTAAACATGGCTACATACTTTGCCTGCCCGCGCTAAAACAGCACACTGAGCCTCTGCTTCACACGGAGCCTTTAATTAATTTATTAACGTTGATTAAGTTTTTCCAGAGAACCATTGAGCAAAAATTTTCCATTAAATCAAATCACCTCCACGTAGGGAATGCCCATGAGTTTCAAAAGTTTTTTGCATTCATCATTATGTTCTTTTGTGACTTTGACCGTTCGACGGCTATACTTGTCGATATTATCCGCTCCACCTTATTATTATAATAATTATATTATGAATCAAAGAAGTAAGATAAAGAAAAGAATTATAAAGATGCGTGATCTACCTTCATCTTGTGCTGCTTCGAGATTTTTTTCGGCTTCTTTTCTTCGCTCTAGACGTTTTGCAAGCTATATGATATTAAGATTATTGTAAAAATTGTAACTTCCAAAATAATGTCGCATAAATCTTTATAACACGATACCTCTCCTGACTTTAAGGTCGGTGGCTTTCCGTCAAAAACATAACAAGGCTTTATACCGTTTTCGATCATTCGAATCGTCCGATAGAAAATTCCCATCAAATGACTTTTGAAAAAACAGAAATGTGGCATAAATAGTAGATTTATGTAAAACTTATAAAAATACGTTTCAAGAAAGACGCGTATACCTTGTAGTTTCGCCTGATTCACTAGTCAACTGCTGACCATCTTGTCTCACGGCAATTAAGAACTGGTATATAGACATAGAGGCATCTATGGCAACTTTACGTCCAAAGTAATTCTTAATTTCATTTGCCTTAATAGAGTTCGGACTGTGATCACCTATAACTTGCGTTAAACCTTTAATGCCCATTTCAAAATCGTCAAAAATATTGTCGAAAGACGCGTCTCGAGAGGTTATTCTTTTATACCTTACTTCCCGGCCAATCATTTTCTTGAACTTTGCATATACATCATCAATACGTAGATCGAGTCATTCTTTAATCGAAAAAATCGAAAAAGGAAATAACGGTTTCCAATTTCAATTTTGTCTCAAATCAAAGTGAGTGATAAGAAACTAATAAATAAAATATTTGAAAACAATGAAAACTAATTCGATAGCGAAGAATCATCACAATTCCTCGTTCTAATGTATTTAACATACAAAGACAATAATTTTATTAGAGGGTTATTTTGATAGAACTTCTCAAAAACAATCTTATCTAATTCTTTGTATAATACACAATTCTCCGGGTGGATATATATTTATATAGCCAATAATAGATACTAAACATCAACTACATCAACTATTAATAAACTCCACACGAAGGTAATTTTGCTTAACAAGCATACATCCAAAACTGAACTAATTCACTCTTCATATAATACATTACGATTGTAAATAATGACTACGTATAAACTTGCATATAAATGAATTGGATATTGAACATATTAATGACACGACTTACCAACAAAAAAATTTAAACGTAAGGATTGATTACGAAAATTTTAAATGTCAAAGAAAAAGAAGAATATAAGACTGTTCAATTTCGAGCCTAAATATCTACTGATATACATCAGATGAAGTTCAAATTAAATTATTAACTCCTAGTATTTTCATCCTGATGATGGTGAGGCCCATTTGACGAGTGGAATCCCGAAGGTGAGTTTGAAGAGAAAATAAATGATTCTATTTGGCGTTTTGCAGTTTGGGAATCTTTCCATGGACTGGTTAAATAGAAACTGTAAGTCAAATAGAAGAATAAATAGTATGTAATAATAAAAATTTTACGTACGATGTGTATTTAAAATTATATTCATCATTCTCGCACAAGAAATATCTCGGCCTCCAGTCAATCCCTTCGGCCTCTCGGAGTTTTGCTTCGTTACGCTGATTGTCTTCAATTAAGG